ACAGTGCAGAAGAGTTCCTTTTTCTCCACACCCTCGCCAACATTTGTTGTTGCTAGTTTTTTTAATATGTGCCATTCTCACTGGTGTAAGATGGTATCTCATGGTAGTTTTGATTTGCATTTCCCTGATGACAAGTGATGTTGAACATTTTTTCATATGCCTGTTGGCCATTTGCATTTCCTCCTCAGAGAAGTTTCTTTTTAGCTCTTCTGCCCATTTTTTGACTGGATTATTTTCTTTGTTGTTGTTGAGTCTCATCAGCTCTTTGCAGATTTTTGTGATCAGTCCTTTATCATTAGTGTTGGGTGCAAAAATGTTCTCCCAGTTGGTGGGGTTTCTCTTTGTTTTTGTTATTGTCTCTTTTGCTGTGCAGAAGCTCTTTAATTTGATGTAGTCCCAGCTGTTTATCTTTGCCTTCACTATCACTGCTTTGGGTGATGTGTCTGTAAGATGTCTTTGATGTGCAAATCACATAGTGTTTCGCCTATATTTCCTTCTATATATTTTATGGTTTCAGGTCTTAGGTCTAGTTCTTTAATCCATTTTGAGTTGATTTTTGTGTATGGTGTGAGGTAGTGGTCAAGCTTCATTCTTTTGCATGTAGCAACCCAGTTTTCCCAGCACCATTTATTGAACAAACTTTCTTTGCTCCAGTGCATATTCTTTGCTCCTTTGTCAAAGATTAGTTGACCATAAATCTGTGGGCTTATTTCTGGATTTTCTATTCGATTCCATTGTTCTGTATGTCTGTTCTTGTTCCAATACCATGCAGTTTTGATGATTATGGCTTTGTAGTATAGTTTGAAGTCTGGGAGTGTGATGCCTCCATTCCCTTCTTTTTTTTTCAGGAGAGCTTTGGCTATTTGGGGTTTTTTGTGATTTCATATGAATTTCATCAATAATTGTTCTATTTCTTTGAAGAATGACATTGAAATTTTGATTGGAATAGCATTGAATCTGTATATTGCTTTTGGTAGGATGGCCATTTTAATAATGTTTATTCTTCCAATCCATGAGCAGGGGATGTCTTTCCATTTCTTTGTGTCGCCTTCTATTTCTTTTAACAGTGTTTTATCGTTTTCTTTGTATAGGTCCTTTACCTCTTTTGTTAGATTTATTCCCAAATATTTGATTTTTTTTTGTTTCAATAACAAAAGGGATGTTTTTTTTGATTTCTTCTTCAGATTTTTTGTTTGTGCATAGGAAGGCTACTGAATTTTGCGTGTTGATTTTGTATCCTGCCACTTTACTGACCTGATTGATGAGTTGAATTAGTTTTTGTGGAGTTTTTGGGGTTCTCTATGTATATTATCATATCATCTGCAAATAGTGATAGTTTGACTTCTTCTTTTCCTATTTGGATTCCTTGTATGTCTTTCTCTTGTAATATTGCTGTGGCTAGGACGTCCAGTATTATATTGAAAAGCAGTGGTGAGAGTGGACATCCTTGTCTTGTTCCAGATCTTAATGGAATTGCTTTCAGCTTTTCACCATTGAGAATGATACTGGCTGTTGGCTTGTCATAGATGGCCTTCATGATGTTGAGGTATGTTCCTTGTATCCCAAGAATTTCAAGGGCTTTTATCATGAATGGGTGTTGCACTTTGTTGAAAGCTTTCTCAGCATCTATTGATATTATCATATGTTTTTTGTATTTTTTTTGTTGATGTGTTGGATAACGTTGATTGATTTTCGGATGTTAAACCATCCTTGTGTCCCTGGAATGAATCCTGCTTGGTCGTGGTGAATTATCTTATGGATACATTGTTGGATTCTGATAGCTAAAATTTTATTGAGGATTTTTGCATCTGTGTTCATTAGGGAGATTGGCCTGTAGTTTTCCTTTTTTCTGTTGTCCTTGTTCGGTTTTGGTATTAGTGTAATGTTGGCTTCATAGAACGTGTTTGGTATTGTCCCTTCCTTCTCAATTTTTTGGAAGAGTTTGTGAAGGATAGGCACTAATTTGTCTCTGAATGTTTGGTAGAATTCATTTGTAAATCCATCAGGTCCTGGGCTTTTGTTTTGGGGGAGGTTTTTGATTACCACTTCAATTTCGCTGCTTGTAATTGGTCTGTTTAGGTGTTCTATTCTTTATCTAGCTTTGGGTGATTGTAGAGTTGTAGGAATTTGTCCATCTCCTCTAGATTGAACTTGTTTCCATATAACTGTTCATAGTAGTTACTGATTATTCTTTTGATTTCTGCTGTGTCCGTTGTGATTTCTCCTCTTTCATTGATGATCCTGTTTATTTGTGCTTTCTCCTTTTTTTCCTTCGTGAGCCTGGCTAGGGGTTTGTATATTTTATTGATTTTTTTCAAAGAACCAGCTCTTGGTTTCATTGATCTTTTGGATTGTTTTTTTAGTTTCAATTTCATTTATTTCTGCTTTTGTTTTTATTATTTCTTTTCTTCTACTGGTTTTGGGGTTTTTTTGTTGTTCTTTTTCTAGATCTTTGAGCTTCGAGATTAGGTTGTTTCTTTGAGTTCTTTCTTGTTTCTTGATGTGAGCTTCTATTGCTATATATTTTCCTCTTATTACTGCTTTTGTTGCATCCCATACATTTAGGAAATTGGTGTCCTCCTTGTCATTCAATTCAAAGAATTTTTTAATTTCTTCTTTGATCTTCTCATTAGTCCAGTGGTCTTCCAGTAGTGTGGTTTTCAGTCTCCATGAGGTAGGAAAGTTCCTTCCCTTCTTTTTATGGTTTATTTCTAGTTTGATGCCTTCATGGTCAGAAAAGATGGTTGGTATGATTTCAATCTTGGTGAATCTGTTGATGTTTGTCTTGTGCCCCAGTATGTGATCGATCCTGGAGAATAATCCGTGTGCACTTGAGAAAAATGTGTACTCCATTTTTTTGGGGGTTTAGTGTTCTATAGATGTCTGTTAAGCCCAAATGCTCTAGGTCCTTATTTAGAGCTTTAGTTTCTTTACTTATTTTTTGTCTTGTTGATCTATCCATTGTTGATAGTGGTGTGTTGAAGTCTCCCATTACGTATGTGTTTTCTCTGATGTCTGTTTTCAGAGAGGACAACAGTTGTCTGATATATTTTGGTGCTCCTTCGTTTGGTGAGTATATGTTAATGAGTGTCATTTCTTCTTGAAGTATTGTCCCCTTGATCATAATGTAGTGACCATTGGGGTCTCTTTTTATTTTTTTGAGTTTGAAGTCTGTTTTATCTGATATAAGTATAGCTGTTCCTGCTTTCTTTTTTGGCCCATTTGCTTGTAGGATTGTTTTCCATCCTTTAACTTTGAGCCTATTTTTATCTTTTGTAGCTAAATATGTTTCCTGGAGACAGCAAAAGGTTGGGTTTTGTTTCTTAATCCAGGCTGCAACTCTGTGTCTTTTTATTGAAGAGTTTAGTCCATTTACATTTAGAGTTAATATTGATAAGTTAGCATTTGTATTTGCCATTGTGTTTCTCTTTCCTTTGATTTTATTTATTCTTTTAATAACTTTTTTTTTTTTGGCCTTCTTTCGTTGTTATTTGTCCCTCTGAGGTTCTGGCTTTAGGATTCCTTGTAGTATTTTTTGGAGTGGGGGTTTAGTCATAATGAAATTCCAGAGTTTCTGTTTGTCTGGGAAGGTCCTTATTCTTTCTTCATAGAGGAAGGAGAGCTTTGCGGGATAGAGTATTCTTGGTTGGCATCTGTTTTCTTGGAGTCTCTTGACTATGTCCCTCCACTCTCTCCTTGCCCGTAGTGTTTCTTCAGAGAAGTCTGATGTCAGCCTGATTGGTTTTCCTTTGAATGTTAATCTGTTTCTTCCCTCTTGTCAGCTTCATTATTTTTTCCTTGTCCTGGATTCTTGGGAGCTTTACTATTATGTGCCTTGCTGTATTTTTCCTTTCGTCGTGGAACTTTGGTGTTCTTCTTGCTTCTTGTATATCAATTTTCAGCTCCTTCGGGTTTGGGAAGTTCTCTTCAATTATCTCCTGGAATATTTTCTCTGTACCTACATCTCTCTCCTCTCCTTCTGGGATTCCTATAACTCTTATATTTCCTTTCCTCATGGAGTCGGATAGTTCCTGAAGTCTTTCTTCATTCTTTTTCCTTCGTACTTCTCTTTCCTTTTCTGTTTTGGTTCTTTTTATTTCTGTGTCTTCAAGAGTACTTATTCGTTCTTCTATTTCATCTATTCTGCTTTCATTGCTTTTCCCAGAGTTCTTTAGTTCCTCCATTAATTCTTTGATCTCCTGCATTTCTTTTGCTCACCTCTTTAGGGACTCAATTTCCTTCTTCTGATCGTTGTTTTCCTTTATGAGTTCTGTCATTTTTTTAATCACGGCAATTTTAAATTCTCTTTCTGGAAGGCGCAGAAGTTCTTCCAAGTTACTGTCGTTGCAATCTGGGGGCTGGTTTTCTTTTTGTGGTGTGCTTTTTTCCTGAGGAGTTGTTAGGTTGCGTGTGGTTCTTCTACTCCCTACTGTCTGTTTTCTAATTTGTCGTATGCATTGGGACACTGTGTTGCTCAGACTGGCCGGCATCTTGGGTGAACTTCCCCGCTCCCCTCTGGCTCCTCCAGGAGCCATCTCTGGCTTCTGAGGGAGCTTTCTAGGAGCAGACCTTTGAATTGAGCTAACTGGAGTAATTCACAACTTACATTTAAGAGAAACAAATAACAAACTTAAAAGCAGACATAACTTGGTATTAACTCTGTGTGAAACATCTTAATATGTAAGTTAAAGTACTTAATATTCTACCATTCTTAGTTATGTTGAATGTGGGGGTTAAAGTAAGGGAGTAATTAAATTGGGGCTCACTTGGTGGGTATGGGAGCATGGTGGGTTTTTTAATATGTCTGTTACTGTGTTTTTCATGCAAAATTGTCTGCCTGTTTTAAACATGGTAGATTGCAGTGCAGCTAGATCATGCTTTCCTCTGCAGGCTCCATCAACTGTTTGAAGCTTCTGCCCCAGCTTGCATTGTTTGTAGGAGAACCTTCGTCATACCTTTATCTGTAGCCTTCCCTTAGGTTTTAAGGATCCTGAAATTTACTGTGGACATTGGATTTGGTGGAACAGCAATCATGGTAAGATGTATGTTAAGATAAAGGGGTGAAAAGTTTTTGTATGGGCCCAAGGTAATGATTTATCAGAGTGTCAAATGATTTGGGGTTCTTGGAATCAGCTTGTAGAAATGATATCTCATTGTATGAAATAACAACTGTAGAAGAGCACTATTGGTTTGCCCAGCTATAAAGGTAAGAATGTTTAGAAAACATTTTAATAGCAATCTTATATGATGTAAGGAAATACACAGTAATTTTTGGTCATGATTACAGTAGTAAGTAGTCATGCTGCACATGTGGTACCATAGATGAAGTTACAATAGACTTAAAATCAATTTGGAAAATGTAGGGTTTGGGTCTTGGTTAGTCTGAGGGAGATACAGTAGCCTAAATGTTCTGGCCATGTTAGTTTAGCTACTCTAGGTTAACATAAAGGGTTCAAAATTGGTTCTGAGAAGTGGGAAGGCCTTAGATTTTATGATCCTCTGGTTTTCCAAATGTTCACAATTTATAAATAAAGATACAATATATCTGTATATTAGAATTATGGTTGATTGTGTAATAAAAGCACCTTTTTAAAAGGTGCCTTAGTTGCACAAAAATAAAAAAGTTTGAAAAAACATCCAAATTCTGGATACATTTTTCACATCATAGAGGATGTCAGTTCTGATGAAATTAGGGCAAAAGCTGTTGGGGAACTAAGAGACACTGCATTTATATTTGTGTTGGGTTGATGGGTGCTACAAAGTTTTAAATAAAGGTAAGGATTTCCTATAATATGGTTATATGTATCCAGGGTAAAATTAATCTACCAGTTCATGTGTTCTGTGGGAAGTTGTATTTGGGTTAGAATTGGTGAAGTAGATGAATACTAAAAGAGGAACTGGACTTGGGGATCAGTAAGGGAGGAAATATAGTTAAAATAATGGAAATTGTGCGGGAGGGATACTGAGAAGTAGGGGATTCCGTAGAGGAATAAAATGGTGCAAGGTCCACAATTGGTCTAGTATCTTCAGAAAGTGGAAGAATGTTGAAGATGTAGGAGGTATGGATGTGTTAAAAAAAAAAAAAGTTTAGATTTGACTTAGAAGTAGGGAAGGATTGGGAGCATATTTCAAAGTAGCTGCAGATGAAATGACTTGGACCTTACTCCTTCCAGACGGTGGGAAAAAGCAGCAAGATGCTGCAGCACATTGATTACAGAATGAGATGTATCCTGCAAGATGGCCGAATCTTCATTGGCACGTTTAAGGCTTTTGACAAGCATATGAACTTGATCCTCTGTGACTGTGATGAGTTCAGGAAGATCAAGTAAGACCACTTTGGATTTGGGTAATTGGAAATTGAGAGGCTCTGGGAAAAACGAGAATAAAGACTTGGAGAGAAAATTAAGGAGGTTGGGAAAGTATTGCAAGACTAATCTCTAGACCTCATTTCTAAGTTGAAGCAGTGTTTCCCAGTCATAAAGGCATAGCATCTTTGTTTTTTTTAATTTAATTTTTTATATTCCCCATACAATTACAACCCCCTTATTTTTACCCCAAGCCCCCCTTTCCCCACCCCCCATAGAGAGTCTCTTGTTCATAGTTATTTGTTGATTTTGATATTTTCTTTCTTATAGTTATTCTTTTTCCTGGTCCCTTATTTAAGTTTTCTAGATTCCTGCTATGAGTGAGACCATCTGGTATTTTTCTTTTTCTTTCTGGCTTATTTTGCTGAGCGTGATCCCTTCCAGCGCCATCCATGGTGCTGCAAGTTGCATTTGTTTATCTTTTTTGAATGCTGAGTAATATTCCTTGTATCCCAAGAATTTCAAGGGCTTTTATCATGAATGGGTGTTGCACTTTGTTGAAAGCTTTCTCAGCATCAATTGATATTACCATATGGTTTTTGTATTTCTTTTTGTTGATGTGTTGGATAAAGTTGATTGATTTTCGGATGTTGAACCATCCTTGTGTCCCTGGAATGAATCCTACTTGGTCGTGGTGAATTATCTTATGGATACATTGTTGGATTCTGATAGCTAAAAATTTATTGAGGATTTTTGCGTCAGTGTTCATTAGGGAGATTGGCCTGTAGTTTTCTTTTTGTGTGTTGTCCTTGTTCGGTTTTGGTATGTGTAATGTTTGCTTCATAGAACGTGTTTGGTATTATCCCTTCCTTCTCAATTTTTTGGAAGAGTTTGTGAAGGATAGGCACTAATTCATTTCTGAATGTTTGGTAGAATTCATTTGTAAATCCATCAGGTCCTGGGCTTTTGTTTTGGGGGAGGTTTTTGATTACCATTTCAATTTCGCTAGTTGTAATTGGTCTGTTTAGGTGTTCTATTTCTTCTTTATCAAGCTTTGGGTGATTGTAGAGTTGTAGGAATTTGTCCATCTCCTCTAGATAGTTGAACTTGTTTCCATATAACTGTTCATAGTAGTTACTGATTATTCTTTTGATTTCTGCTGTGTCCGTTGTGATTTCTCCTCTTTCATTTGTGATCCTGTTTATTTGTGCTTTCTCCCTTTTTTCCTTTGTGAGCCTGGCTAGGGGTTTGTCTATTTTATTGATTTTTTCGAAGAACCAGCTCTTGGTTTCATTGATCTTTTGGATTGTTTTTTTAGTTTCAATTTCATTTATTTCTGCTTTGGTTTTTATTATTTCTTTTCTCCTACTGGTTTGGGGGTTTTTATTGTTGTTCTTTTTCTAGATCTTTGAGCTTTGAGATTAGGTTGTTTCTTCGAGTTCTTTCTTGTTTCTTGATTTGAGCCTCTATTGCTATATATTTTCCTCTTATTACTGCTTTTGCTGCATCCCGTACATTTAGGAAATTGGTGTCCTCCTTGTCATTCAATTCAAAGAATTTTTTAATTTCTTCTTTGATCTCCTCATTAGTCCAGTGGTCTTCCAGTAGTGTGGTTTTCAGTCTCCATGAGGAAGAAGAGTTCCTTGCCTTCTTTTTATGGTTTATTTCTAGTTTGATGCCTTCATGGTCAGAAAAGATGGTTGGTATGATTTCAATCTTGGTGAATCTGTTGATGTTTGTCTTGGGTCCCAGTATGTGATTGATCCTGGAGAATGATCCGTGTGTGCTCAAGAAAAATGTGTACTCAGATTTTTTTTGTGTTTAGTGTTCTGTAGATGTTTGTTAAGCCCAAGTGCTCTAGATCCTTATTTAGAGCTTTAGTGTCTTTACTTATTTTTGTCTCGTTGATCTATCCATTGTTGAGAGTGGTGTGTTGAAGTCTCCCAATACGTATGTGTTTTCTCTGATGTCTGTTTTCAAAGATGATCATAGTTGTCTGATATATTTTGGTGCTCCTTCGTTTGATGAATATGTTAATGAGTGTTATTTCTTCTTGAAGTATTGTCCCCTTGATCATAATGTAGTGACCATTGGGGTCTCTTTTTACCTTTTTGAGTTTGAAATCTGTTTTATCGGATATAAGTATAGCTATTCCTGCTTTCTTTTATGGTCCATTTGCTTGTAGGATTGTTTTCCATCCTTTAACTTTGAGTCTTTCATAGAGGAAGGAGAGCTTTGTGGGATAGAGTATTCTTGGTTGGCATCTGTTTTCTTGGAGTCTGTTGACTATGTCCCTCCACTCTCTCCTTGCCCGTAGTGTTTCTTCAGAGAAGTCTGATGTCAGCCTGATTGGTTTTCCTTTGAATGTTATCTGTTTCTTCCCTCTTGTCAGCTTCATTATTTTTTCCTTGTCCTGGATTCTTGGGAGCTTTACTATTATGTGTCTTGCTGTATTTTTCCTTTCGTCCTGGAAGTTTGGTGTTCATCTTGCTTCTTGTATATCAATTTTCAGCTTCTTCTTCGGGTTTGGGGAGTTCTCTTCAATTACCTCCTGGAATATTTTCTCTGTTCCTACATCTCTCTCCTCTCCTTCTGGGATTCCTATAACTCTTATATTTCCTTTCCTCATGGAGTCGGATAGTTCCTGAAGTCTTTCTTCGTTCTTTTTCCTTCGTACTTCTCTTTCCTTTTCTGTTTTGGTTGTTTTTATTTCTGTGTCTTCAAAAGTACTTATTCGTTCTTCCATTTCATCTATTCTGCTTTCATTGCTTTTCCCAGAGTTTTTTTATGCTTTCATTAATTCTTTGATCTCCATTTCTTTTACTTCCCTCTTTAGAGACTCAATTTCTTTCTTCTGAGTGTTGTTTTCCTTAATGGCTTCCCTCTTTAGGGACTCAGTTTCATTCTTCTAAGCATTGTTTTCCTTAATGACTTCTATCAGTTTTTCCATCACGGCAATTTTAAATTATTTTTCTGGAAGGCTCAGAAGTTCTTCCAAGTCACCGTAGTTGCAAGCTGGTCGGTGTTTTGTTTTGTTTTGTTTTTTTTTTTGGTGATGTGTCTTTTTTTTGAGGTGTTGCTACTTTGCTTGTAGTTTTTCTTTTCCCTGCTGCCTGTCTTTTAATTTGCTTTATGCTTTGGGACACTGCTGCTGGTACTGGCTGGCATCTTTTTGGTGTGTTCTTTCGGGAGTTTCAGAAACTGGCAATCCAAACAAGTCAAAAACTGTTATGCCAGAAGTCCAGTGAGGCAGTGGTACTTTGAGTATGTTAACGGTCACTGCCACAGAATCTCTCCTCCTTCTGTGTTTAGTTTCAAATGTGCGTCTTGAAGTCCCACAGACTTCCCTGCAGGTGGGGCAGCTGGATTGCACTCTGGGTTCCAAATCTCTTGATCCTTCTCTGGGCTCCGACTTCCTGCCAGGTAGAACCAGGCTTGTGGGGGCTTTCAGCTCACCTCTGACTGTGCAGTGAACCGTCTCCCTTTGGCTACACAGGGAGCCTTCTGCAAGCAGTCTTTATTGAAGAAAGGTCCCTGTTCTAAAATGGCGCTTTGGAGACAGGCACACTCTTCCGCGTGCCCAGTCTGCCCTGGCCATGGGTGCCTGCTCCCTTCTGGGCTTGGACTTCTGGCCAGAAGGGGCCTGTTGTGGACAAACTTCCCAGCTTACCTCTTGCTCCTCCGGGAGCCTTCCTCTGGGAGCTCCTCCGGGAGCCGGTTTCAAGCAGTCTTTACTGAAGTTCCCTATTCTATGGGGTGTTGGTGATTTTTTTTCTGGTCACTAGGTGGTGTCAGACATCTCTCCTAGTGTCCTTGTTGAGCTGTTCTTTTTACCCGGTGGGACAGGGGAACAGAGTGAGAGTGGTGGGGAAAGCCTCAACGGCTTTGGGGTGCTGTGTCTGCCTTGTGCCCCACTGTCGTGGGGAACCCACGCCCCGAATTTTGTGCCCCGGGTCTCAGTTCCAAAGCCCTCAGGTCCAGGACGCGGGCTGTAGCCCAGTTCAGTGTCTGCAGAAATGGCGCCTTTTGAACCCCGCTCCCGTGACTGGGTGCCTGGTTTCTGATTACTCAGGGAGGGACATTCACCTCAATGAGGGCCCCTGTGCATCTCCCCACAAGCCTAGGTCGCAGGCTAGGGGACCTGGGCAGCCTCCATCCGCGTTTGCTTTTTCAAGCGCTGCTTTTCCGCACAAGCTTACAGGCTGGCCTGGGGCTGTGTGTAGGTCTCCCGACTCTTTGTATTTCTCTAATGGCGCCTGGAGCCATTCGCTCACCTCTGCTGCGAATCCTGCAGGGTTCTCCACAGCTCCAGTTCACGGGGTGTGGTGGCTGAAATAGTTCCTTTCCACTCTCAGTCCCGCTTGATGCGTAGTTTGTTCTTGTTCGTTGTTGTTAGTTTTTTTGTTTTTTCCTCCTTCCTGTTGGTCAGAGTGCCGACTCTGTGGGTGGGGGAGTGTTGCAGGGTTCTGAGCTTTCCTCCATTCTAGTCCTCTTTTATGGCAACTTTCTTCTTTAGGTAGTTTGCTGGAGTCGTCCGTTTATCTTCCGTGTCCCAGTTCTCACTGGGACCTGCCGCTTTTCCTCCCCATTAACTTTTTTTTAATGGGAGATCTTACTTGCAGCGTTTCCTCACCGCCATGTTGATCCCCCCCCCCCCCGCCAGCATCTTTGTTTTAAGTTTGGTAATATATCCATGAATGTACTAAAAGTAAACAGTATGACCAATATCAAGTTATATTATGTGTATTTCAAAATTTGAGAAATGTTACTAACAGATTGGCTTTTGCAACATTCTTTCACTCATTCTACCTGTTCTTTTCCCCACTCAGTCTCTGGTGAATCCTGTCATCCCCTACACCTCTGGCCTACACGCCAGTTCCGTATGCAAAAATGAATAAATCTTAAAAATCTTTTTAAGAAAAAAATTAACTTAGTTAAAAATGATTTTAGAAAGTTTACTTCCCATCTTAACTGATACTGAGGTTTCAGTTTTAACATGTCATTTGCGGCTTCATTTCACAAAATCAGTTCTGCTGTAGAATAAAATAAGAGAACATTCAGGAGACTCAAGTTTGATACAAATAGAGCAATTCATCACCCTTGCAGATCAACTGAGTTCATTTTCCTGTTCCGCAGCATAGTAACTGAGCCTGTGGGAAACTTGGCATCAAGTATTAATTGAGAGTTGACAATCTGTAAATATTTTAGTGATTACTTTTATCTTCCTAAAATTTATTTCTGATTTGTAGGCCAAAGAATGCAAAGCAGCCAGAGCGTGAAGAAAAACGGGTTTTGGGTCTGGTGTTGCTGCGTGGGGAGAACTTGGTTTCCATGACTGTGGAAGGACCACCCCCCAAAGATGTAAGGACTATATAGGGCAAGACAGAACATTATTGTGGAAGGACATTACATTTTTTAAAGAGTGTGTGTGCCATTTTTAAAAGTTGTGCCAGGGCACAACAGGGTCACAGTATAACATGCCTTTGTCAGTGTGCTCAGTGTGCCACTTCAGTTTTTGTATGTCTTTACTTGGCCATTAAAGGTTTTCAGAAAAATTCATGTGTTGGGCTCTACATGTATAAGGATAGGAGATACTAATTTATTTTCTCTTGGTATGCTCATAGAAATATATGTATGTATCATGTGACAAAAGTGCACATAGGAGCCTCCTCTGGTGGCTCAGTGGTTGAGCACTGGGCGGAAAAGCTGCCTGCAGCCTCTGCAGTGCCAGTTTGATCCCTGGCCACCGGTGAGGGTCCTACATGGCGCGACAGACCTCTCCTGTCTTGCCCGCATGTACTTCGTCAGTCTCCCTATTCTGTTCCCCACTCTGGCTCTGGTGAATTCTCTCACCCTCCCGCACTTCTGACTGTACCCAGTACTTGTATGTGTGTATAAATAAATAAATAAATAAATCTTAAAAAAAAAAAGTGCACTTAGTTCACAGTATCTCTCCTTGGTGCAGGTGACTTTTATTTCCTGAAATCTAGACCAAATATGGAATTGATAGTATGAGAATATGATGGTGAAGGAATAAATTTTTTTTAATGAATAAGACTGTTGATAACTTTGGTAAATCTTGGTTTCAAGTAAATTTTTTTCTTTCTTAGACTGGCATTGCTCGAGTACCACTTGCTGGAGCTGCAGGAGGCCCTGGGGTTGGCAGGGCAGCTGGCAGAGGAGTACCAGCTGGTGTCCCAATTCCCCAAGCTCCTGCTGGATTAGCAGGCCCTGTCCGAGGGGTTGGAGGACCATCCCAACAGGTGAACCTGGAGAATGCTTTATATTGTGGGGAAGTACCTAGAGCTGAAAAGATAAGTAAACCTGAATGTGCTTATACTATGGAAATAGTATATGCTAGAGAGGAAATTGAGGGATAAATACACATTTGAAAGGGAATAGGTTAAAGCTACCTTGGTAAGAGTAACCACGTATTGGTGGTAAGAAAGGGGAAATGTGAATAGTTAAGCCAGAATTGAGAAAATGAAAAGGGATTTATTAGCTTAAAAGGGCATTTTTTTTTAAAAAAGGGCAAAGATTTTTTTATATGAGAATGTTGCAAGAATTACAAAGTTATTATTTCATATTTTAAAGACCATGATGTGTTTATTATCTGAATTTGAAAACTGTCAGTGTGCCCTACCTTGACTCTCACTCCCTACCATGCCTACTTAGGTAATGACTCCACAGGGAAGAGGCACTGTAGCAGCTGCTGCAGTTGCTGCAACTGCCAGCATTGCTGGTGCCCCAACTCAGTATCCACCCGGACGGGGGACTCCACCCACACCTGTGGGCCGAGCAACCCCACCTCCAGGTAAAGAATTAATGAATAAGAGGTAGCAGAATTTGGTTCATAGGTATGTTCTATGGAGAGATTTCATCATCTTAAGATAGTGATGATTATAAACATTTTAACATGATTATAATATTAAATTAGGACCCAGCCTAAGTTTCTTCCTAACTAGTAGCTGGAATAATTTTCCGGTTTTGGGGTACCAGTTCTTTATGAAAGACTATGGCCTGTAATTGAACCCACTGTCATGGTAATGGTCAAGAAAAATTAGTACAACTCTTTGGCATCTACACCCATTTATTTAAATACCTTGTATTCTGGGTCTCCCCGGTGGCACAGTGGTTGAGCGCTGGGTTGCGAAGCTGCCCACAGCCTCTGCAGTGCCGGTTCGATCCCCTGCTGCTCCCTGGCCACCAGAGGAGGGTCCCACATGGCGCACAGACCTTTCCTGCCGCCCGCTGCTCCCCTCAGCAGTGTACTTCGGTCCTCCTGCCTGCTCTGCTCCCCGCTCTGGCTGTGGTGAATTCTCTCACCCTCCCGCACTTCTGACTGTACCCAGTGCTTGTATAAATAAATAAATAAATAAAAATAAATAAATCTTTAAAAAAATATATCTTATATTCTGTTAATTGAATTACCAGTCCTTCATTTTTGTCACTTTTATTTTGTAGGCATTATGGCTCCTCCACCTGGTATGAGACCACCTATGGGCCCTCCAATTGGGCTTCCCCCTACTCGAGGGACCCCAATAGGCATGCCTCCTCCAGGAATGAGACCCCCTCCACCAGGAATTAGAGGTGAGTCGGTGCACAGATGGCTCACCTGTGCCACCAGGCCCTTGAATATATGTTTTTTTTCTGATGGTTTTATGGAATTTTGCCTTTTTTTTTCTAGGTCCACCTCCACCCGGAATGCGTCCACCAAGACCCTAGGATTCTATCAATCCTTCATAGTCACTTTTTCCTGCAATGCGTCTTGTGAAACTGTGTAGAGTGTTTGTGAGCTTTTTGTGCCCTTGCTACATAAAATTAGCTAATAAATGCATAGAGCAATTCAACTTAAAGTTACTGTTGTAAATTTTTTTTGCCTGTTAATTTTATCGAGGTCAGAGTGAACACTGGGATTTTTCTGTTGCAGCTAATATGGATATGGTGTGAATCCATTGAAACCATTCATTTTCCCTTTAATTCTTACAATACCTTGGTGATACTTGTTTTCAACTTCCTAACTTTCAATTTTTGCTTTGACGGATGTCTGTTAATCTTTACACATAAGAAAACTCTTAACCATATGGTTAAGTGATCAAACTAATAATACATAGGGTCTCCTCCACTTTTCAATGTTCTGTAGTCCTGAAAGGAAGTAGGGATGGAATGAAAGACCTAGTAGACCACCTGGAAAACTGGTACTTAAAGAGACTTGATTCATTAATTCAAGTAATTCTGGATATGAGGTACGCCATTTCCTTGAAGGTTTACCTAATAAACAGCTTTGAGAGTTTCCTTATGCCTTGTGTGATCATAGTAGATGGCATGATCCTGGAATAATCATCATTCCATAGTAAGTATTTACTTGTTCTAGTTTTTAAGTAAATGATAGTCTGGGTACTAGGAATAATAGTTGTATTGCTTAAAATATAAATAATATACCAGTAAATAGTAAGTACTATAAAGTAAAAATTATGCTTTTGTCCAACTATGATTTTGGTGACCAATTATAAGTATTCAAGGAATACACAGTCTCGTAAATTAAATAGCAATAAATGAAAAAATACCAAGTTTAGGTTCAGTTTTAAGTAGCTGTGGAATAATGAAGTTTTTTTTTTTTTTAAAAGGGAAGATTTTTAGTGTACGATTTCAACTAGGTAGTGAGAAATACTGATTATAAGAGTTAGTTTCTAAAATATAATTAAGATTGTTATTAAAATATATATTAAAATTACAAGACTATCATTGATTTTGTTTTCTTTGATTTTATCAACAGATGCTATGTGTATGCCACCATTTCCATCTTTTAAATCATTCCTTGTCAAGTAATAGACTCCTAAGGAAAATTGACCTTCGCAGTCACTACCTCTGCTGTCATCAATGTTATATGCTCTGAGTACTTCTAAGTTTCATGGCTACTCTCAGGTAAAGAACAGTAATCAAGCCTTCATTTGTTTAGGAAATTTATATAATACATATGTGATTTTCTTTTTTTTAGCATCTGAATGATACAAGTAACTTCCTCAACAGAATCTTAGGTAAAGTGCTTTATATGAATCTTTGGAAGCTAAGCCCTTCTCTTAAGAAAAAAATTAACTCATATATTACAAATACCTTTGCTCTAAAACCAGGTGGGTAGTATGTAAAGAGCCATGTTTTTCACCCAGTAGTCTGTTCCCTGGGCCAAAATCTTTTTTTTAAGATTTATTTTATTTATTTATGCATACAAGAGCTGGGATGTAGGCCAGAGGTGCAGGGGGAAGGGGTGAGTGTATTCACCAGAGACAGAGTGGGGAGCAGAACAGGCAGATTGACTAAAATACAATGCTAAAGGGTATAGCAAGAAAGACAAGGGGGGTCTTTGTCATGTGAATTAGCTCCATAGCTATGGATCAAACTCTTGCTGAAGTAGCTGGTGATAACTTCATAGTGCTAAGACTTAACCCCTTATGCCACTAAGGAGGCTCTCCCTAGACCAAATACTAATAATATATGGCACCTTTTTAAAAAGATTTATTTATTTATACAAGCACTAGGTACAGTCAGAAGTGAGTGAGGGTGAGAGAATTCACCAGAGCCAGAGTGGGGAACAGAACAGGCAGACTGACAAAGTACACTGCTGAGGGGAGTAGCTGGCTTAGCCGGAGAGGTATGCGCACCATGTGGGACCCTCGTCCTGCAGCCAGGGATCGAACTGGCGCTGCGGAGGCTGTAGGCAGCTTCACAGCCCAGCGCTCAACCACTGCGCCACCAGGGAGGCCCCCTTTTTGGTTTTAGAAGAAAATATCCCTCTCATAGATGGCCCTTGGACTTTGGCTTGATTGATAATGTATCACATTTGAGGAAAACCTGTTCTCTAATAATTTCTTGACTATAGATGGCCTCTTTTGCAAAGGTGTGAGTGACTATAACTCTAGATTCTGTAAGACACAGGTATTTTGTTTTGATGATACTAGTCACTTTCAGGTGCTTCAATTTTTTGAGAACCCCGATTATTTGTGGATTGTATATACTGATAGGCAACTTGGGTTACAATCTTATAAATGTGTATGTTAACATAAAGGTATGGGTCTTTTTCTTATGGTTTGCTAGATCTAAGCTGGATAATGTCATTGTGAACATTTACTGACATGCCATTGATACATGCAGTATTCTCTAGAGTTTATCCTATATTCCAATAAGTATATATGTCATCTAAAACACAGGCAACAACGTAATTGTTTCCTCTCACATTTATTAACTGTGACTCCATAATTATATACAACTGGCATGTCAACACAGATCTACGAATGATTAGGCTATGTTGTAAAAAAATCACTTTAAGTACACAATGGTGAATGGGAACATCAGTTTTCTGGCACTGTCCAGCATCACAAGAGAGTATTTTACCGTGGGATTTTCTTTCTATTTTTTTTTAACCTCTGAATTCTCAAGAAAACTTTTAATGAAATCTGTAATCCTTCATTTCTACAAATGGCTTTCACACCATTGTAAACTTGAAACATTGTAAGTCTAACATTTGCCTACCTAATAACTTTATGTTTTTGAGGATATTTTTAATTGTATTGTATGTTATCATGTTGGTAAACTGAACTTAGAATAAAAGGTTGTGGATCTCCCTGGTGGCACAGGGAGTTAAATATCAACACTTTGATACTATCCACAGCCACTGCAGCTTGAGTTCAGTTCCAGGCCATGGAGCTACCCACATGGACATGATAAAGCAGACCACTCCTGTCTTGCCAGCTCCTCCCCTCAGCAGTGTATTTCAGTCAATCCTCCTATTCTGTTCCCCACTCTGTCTCTAGTCAGTCCTCTCACCTCCTGCACCTCTGGCCACTACCCTACGTCTCGTATGCATAAATAAATAAATTTAAAAAAAGAGAATAAACGGATATTTAAAAAAAGTAGTTTCCTCCCTTTCTAAATTTACTGATACATAATCATATAATTATGTCACATTTTAGAAGTATTACATTTTTTCAAGTTCATTAATATAAAATTGATAGACCATTGTGTAAGTTTAAGATGTACAGGATGATAATGATGTGTATATATTATGAAGTTGTTTCCACAAAATGGTTAAAACATCCACCACCTTACATAGTAAGCATTTGTCTTATATAAAAGCTTTATTTTAATTTATACATACAAGAACTGAGGTATAGGACAGAGGTGTGTGGGGAAAAGGGTTGAGAAGATTGACCAGAGAGAGAATGGGGAGCAGAACAGGCAGATCTACTGAAATACACTGCTGAGAGGAGCAGAAGGCACTATAGGAGAGGTCTTCTGTGCAGTATGTGGGTTAGCTTCCTGGCTGGGGATCAAACTCATGCCACAGTGGCTGGCGATAACTTGATAGTGCTGAGACTTAGCTTAATAGTGCTGAGACTTTTAGCTTCATAGCACTGAGACTTTTAGCCCTGTACCACCAGGGAGGCTCAGCATTTGTTTCCTTTTAATCTTCTGTTGAGAACTTTTATGATCAACTAAAGCAAGTTTCAAGTATAAAATGCAATACTAATAACTATGGTTACCGAGATCTACACTAAAGCCCGGAACTTAATAATCTTATAATTGATACTTATTTATTTTTTTGCATAAAAGAACTGGGGTATAGGTCAAAGGTATGGGGGTAAGAGGATTCACCAGAGACAGAGTGGGGAACAGAACAGGCAGATTGACAGAAGGACACTGCTGAGGGGAATAGCGAGAGCTAGTCAAGAGTCTGCTGTGCCATGTGGGTTGCTGTCTGGCCAGCTGGGGATCAAACTCGTGCTGCAGTGGCTGCGGACAGCTTCATAGGTTGTGTTTTAACCCCTTGCGTATATGGGTCAGCTCCCTGGCTAGGGATCAAATTCAGGCCATAGTAGTGATAGTGCTGAGACTTAACCCCTACGCCACCATGTTAACCAGGAGGTCCTATACTTTATTTTTTAATTGTAGCATTACTGGTATGTAAATAATGGTGTATCTTAAATTTTATTTTAGACTCTATCAAATATGTACGTAGGCATCTGTATTTCCAATTTTTTTCAGGTGTTATTTTATATTGACTTGTCCCCTTTTGTTACCACCCATTCAGTTCCTCCCACTCTAGTAGCCTCAATTATTTTTTTTTCAAACATTTATTTATTTATTTATACAAGCACTGGGTTCAGTCAGAGGCACAAGAGGGTGAGAGAATTCACCAGAGCCAGAGCGGAGAGTAGAATAGGCAGAGTGACGAAGTACACTGCTGAAGGGAGCAGTGGGGGACAGGAGAGGTTTACGTGAAATGTGGGACCCTAGCCTGCCGCCAGGGATTGAACTGGCACTGCAGAGGCTGCAGGCAGCTTCCAACCCAGCGCTCAACCCCTGTGCCACAGGGGAGGCCCGCCTGAATTCTTATAGACTCTATATTACATTTTTTTTAAAGATTCATTTATTTATACAAGCACTGGGTACAGTCAAAAGCACGGGAGGGTGAGAGAATTCACCAGAGACAGAGCAGGGAACAGAATAGGCAGACTGACGAAATACACTGCTGAGGGGAGCAGCATGTGAGTCAGGAGAGGTCAGAGGCAGCAGGCAGCTTCGCAGCCCAGGGCTCAACCACTGTGCCACCAGAGGAGGCCCTACATTACATTTTTAGTTATTTTTTTAAAATTGTTTATTTATTTATACAAGCACTGGGTAAAGTCAGGAGCTCAGGAGGGTGAGAGAATTCACCAGAGCCAGAGGGGAGAGCAGAGCAGGCAGACTGTCGAGGTACACTGCTGAGGGGAGCAGCGGGCGACAGGAGAGGTCTACGTGCCATGTGGGACCCTCGCTGGGTGGCTGGGGATCAAACCGGCGCTGCAGAGGCTGCAGGCAGCTTCATATTCCAGCGGTGCAACCTCTGGGCTACCAGGAGTGCCCTATATTACATTTTTAAATATATAATATATACTTGGTAGTATTGCTACATTCTTTCTCATATTTGCATTTCAATTACCTTAGGACTGACCTATAGTTACTCATTAGTTGATTTTATAGCATAAAAGCAAAGCATGTTATCTTGAGTTTCTCATATTATTACATTTTCAGTCTTATACAATGCCTTTTTGATCACTTAGTTGGTGACTGAAAGAGAATTGATCACTGATTTTTCTGGCATGTCACTGTGAATCCTATCCAGTAGTGGTGCACCGAGGCTGAAATCATGTTAACTGCGTTTAGGACAAATGTAAACCACTCCAGGTAAAATAACCTTGTTTAAAAAAAAATAATAACTTTTATTGCAGAGGCCTTGGCTAGGTTCATGATGACATAGGACCTTGTTTGAATATAATGATTTTAAATTTTGAGCTTAAAATGACACTCTGAAATCTAGTCAATGTGCCTCACTTGATTTAGATTTCTCATAGAACATTATTCTCAATAGAATATGTTGGTTTGGCATGTAAAATCTTCAGATAAATAGAAATGGCTGGTGTAGTACTACACTTTGTCAGTCTACAAACAACCTTTTTTATTTTCATATATATTCTGAGCTAATTCTTTTTTTTTTTTCAATACTACATCTATGTGTTGTTGAAAGCAAAAAAAGGGAAGGCTCATTCATGGATCCTAGAAGGCAAATGTACTTGATGAGATGGAAGAAAGTACGTGCAAACAAGTAACTACCACCTGTTAGAATGAACATTGAATGTCAATTGTAGGTGTCTAAGTGATGTACAGGAAGGAGGGTGAGTAATATTTATGGAAACATATTTATGAAACATAGTGTCTCTGGTAAGTGCTTTCACATGGATGTTGTTGATGTTTGAGGGACATTTATTTATTTTTATTTTTTTTCTATGAAGTTGACTCACAATTATAGAGCCAATACAATAGATGTTTAAAAAATATTAATTAAATACATGTGTCAACACTCATAATTGTTTTAAATTTTATAATACAATTTTTAAATATAAGAAAGTTAAAATTGTTTATTGTGGAATATTTTGATATATTCTATACCCCTGTGATATGTAAGTCTACACTCTAGTTAGCCCATCTTACATAGGTACCACTTTACCTAATCATTTCATGTTAACCAGGACTTGTCTTTTTTTTTTGAAGATTTATTTATTTATGCATACAAGAGCTGGGGTACAGGCCAGAGATGCAGGGGCGGGGGTGTGTGTGAGAGGATTTACCAGAGATAGAATGGGGAACAGAACAGGCAGACTGACTGAAATACACTGCTGAGGGGAGCAGTGGGCGAGACAGGAGAGGTCTGCTGCACCGTGTGGGTTGCTCCGGGATCGAACTCATGCTTCAGTGGCTGCAAATTGCTTCATAGTACGGTGCTTAACCCCTTGCGCCACCAGGAAGGCTCAGGACTTGTCTTAATGTTGTAGAGTAACCTGTCATAATTCTTACAGTGTGTTTGTACAATTAAGTTTTGGTTATTTTTGGTAAAAATGTGGAACTACAAATGCTGTTTGAGTTTACAGAGGTGAGAACACTTTCCTTGCTTTGTGATGTGATAAAGATCTAATAACATTTGATAGATGCTTCTAAGGATATGATTGTTGAGTATGTTGATAAATGGCTCTTCAGGTGTTTAAGTAGCTTTGCTCTGCCAGGAATAAACCGACAGTTTAGTGTAGGGGAGCAGCTAAGAGCTGAGTATACTATACTTCGTTGATCCCCCAAATAGTAGATGAAGAAACCTCAAATGACTTCTACCTTGTATTGAAAGGGGAATCACTGTCATCCTCAGGGGTATCTGTCACCCTCTTGTGCCAGGGATACAGGCTAGAAGAAGCAATTCTACTTGTACTTTCACACATTGAATGTCATCTCAATTAGGTTCTGAATCTGCTTTGCTAAAATGATGTTCCTTTGCCTATGATTTAGAAAGTTCTAATGTGTAACAGAAACCATTTGTAGGAGACTTTACTGGGTTAATTTAATTTGAGTGACAAGATTAATCTTAAAAACTAGGAAAGGTAGTCAAGATTCAAAAAAATGTTATATTTCAACTGAATTTTTTAAAGATTAATTTTTATTCATGCATGCAAGAACTAGGGTGTAGGCCAGAGGTGTAAGGCAGGAGGGGTTGGTGAAAGGATTCACCAGAGACAGTGGGGAATTAGAACAGGCAGATCTACTGAATTACACTGCTGATGGGAGCAACTGTGGAGACAAGAAGTCTGCTGTGCCATGTGGGTTAGATCCCTGTTGTGGATAGAACTCATGTTGCAATGGCTGTGGATAGTTTCATAGTTCTGATACTTAACCCCTTACTTAACTCCCACCAGGGAGTTCCTCATTTGAATTTTTTATTATGAGTCACTTTGCATTTAATGTATAGCTGATAAGGATAATACAGTGACATAGAGGTATAGCTATTTGTACATCTCAATTCATTGGGGTTCCTACTCATAAAATTTGTGTAGCATATTTATAGAGTTCCTTGTATCTTATCATTTGTTATGGTGTCAAAGATAATTTTAAAAAATACATTTCCCCATATCATTAATTTCACATCTGTTAGGAGATAGATAACTGGAAAAATAGTATGCTCTTTTATTTCCATGGTAAAATTTGGATTATATTACCATTCCAATTTGGTCCCTTGTGTCAGAAATGTTAGACCGTGGCTTATATGACCTTTATTGTATCAGATAGAGCTGTTGTTGGACTTTCTGCTTTACCTATTTCATCTGCCTTAATTTTGAGTATCCTCATTATTTGGCATTTTTTATACTTAACTCTGAAATATTTGGTGGATGTTTTAACTATAATGTTGGTCTTTAATTGGTTTATAATAAGTTATTGTGGAAAATATGAAGTTATTTTTTGTATTTGTGGTGACATTTGAATGTCTTACTTTCAGGTTTTTTTTTTTTTTTGGACTATTTGTTAAAATCTAATGTAAGCCATTATATGTAGTTCAGTGACATGGAAGATCTCAATGTAATTCTAGGAGATTGTTAGGGTCTTTTATTGTCTTTGATTTTTTGTTGTTGCCTTAGTTTATATCAGTTGTTGATAGTGCTGCTATATATCATCCATTGTTAAAGATGATCATTCATTCTCCCAGACCAGGTGATTTTCCTCCATTTATGAAGATGCACTGCCTGCTGGTATACTTTTCTTTATATAGTTTACTTCTTGTTGGGAAAGACCTTGACTGGATTTATGATGAGCTGTGTTTACTGAGCATGATGATGTGAAGCTCAATGTGAGTACTCTGAAGTCCAGCCGAAGCGTCAATCCAAAGTTCTGGCATATACATTTTTTGAACATAAGTTTAAATTTCAAAAGGGTTTTTTTCCATCAATACTGTGCATGTTAGGGAGAATGGAACTGTTGGTTTTTCCAGTGAAATACAGGGAAGTTTGTTCTAGATTCATTAGAATTTAATTTTGGATAGTACTGTCTATGTTTTTGTAGCATTTGTACATCTCACCCGTCTTTTTCATAATGCATTTCAACTGATACATCAGTTTGAGAAAATAACTACTTCCCTTTCCATTATTCGCATCATGCAGTTCCAAACTCATGCCAAAAGTTTCCTCAGGTCCTGGTTCCAACCTCTATGAGGAAGCTCCAATTACCACACAGATATGAAATTGCGAATTTATTGGTGAGATATTGATTGCTTTGACTTAATTTTTGGCAGGATGTTTAAGTCACATTCAGAGGGACTATTCTTGATAAATTAACTGTCTGTGCATCTTGACAAAGAATACATGGAAATTTAGAGTTTAAGTCTTTGTGATTGAAGACAATGAAATTGTCAGTTTGCAGTTGTCTATGTTAAGCCCTAGAAAGAAATTGATTTGCTAAATACCATGCATTTTTATCAACTGAATATTTAAGATGACTATTTAAAATTAATCCTTGCAAATATAAATAATGAATATTTTGCTATCTGTGATTGGCATTCTGTGAGTAGGTGCTGAAAAAATAGCTTTTTGAAAACCTGTATAAAAACGCAATCAGGGATAGTTAATTATACCAAGTTCTTATTTTCAAATAGTCATCTTAATTTGCTGAGATGTGTGTATGTATATTTATATGTGCATGTATATATATGTACACATATATGGTATAAGGATATTAATACTGTGACAGGTGATCAGTTTATAATACAAAGTTATCAGGGTTTCAGAGAATTGTATGGTTGGTTGGTAAGCCTTTTTCTTAATTATTTCCCTCTTTCCCTTACAAGTCTTTTTTTTTTTTTGGCCATACATAGTGCATTTATTTTTTGAAAATATTTATTTATGCATAAAAGATCTGGGGTACAGGCCAGAGGTGTGAGGGGGTTAGAGGATTCACCGGGGACGGAATGGGATCAGAACAGGCAGACTGACTGCAGAGGAGAGCAGCAGGTGAGTCAGGAGAGATCTGCTGTGCCATGTGGGCAGCTCCCTGGCCGGCTGGGGGATCGAACTCATGCTGCAGAGGCTGCTGACAGCTTCATAGGTTGTGTCTTAACCCCTTGCACCACCAGGGAGGCTCCGATATAAATAGTGTATTTATAACCTCTCAGAGTTGTCTAGGTTGTCTTCAGTGTTGCCAATCCTGGCCAGTGTGGATATATTGGAAGAACTGAGAACCTACTGAGCTGCCTGTTTTATCAACTGAATTACTAGAAAGATTTCATACTCTTGCGTGACAAGGGGAAGGAATGAGGTTCAGGTCTTCTTGAGGTATGGTATTGACTTAAGATTGTTTAATAAGTTTAGATGTTTGGTGCAATGTAGAGTGGGTAGTTAGTAGGAAAAGAGATACAGTTATATTTGGCAGCTCAGCCACATCTTAACCCCATCCCTGGATGATACTTCTTTATTTAAATAAATTTGCCTATAGATGTCAATGTGGGGAAGAGGATTAGTTTTTGTTTAGAATTTTTTGAGGGGCAAAGGCTGTCTTAATGATTAGATGCATTGTTTTCTTGCATTTGATAACATCTTTCATTTTTCTGTGGTCCAGACAAGATCATTTATAAGGGCAATTTAATGAGAAGAGTAATGGAAGGAACAAAGCAGCAATAATAGACAGTGAGCATGGTGATGGATGGAGAAAGATAAGAAGGAAGAAGATAGATTTAAAGTGACGAGAGCAATGTTGGCTATATGGAAACTGCACTGTTTGAGTATTAGGACACAACAGGTAGCATAGGCATCAGAATTAGTATTCATCTACAAACTGGTGCTATCTTTAAGTGTGTGGGCCTCAACCTGCTTTGCCATGTAAGCCTCTGTACGATCTCTTGAAATGACTATTATAGGTATTACTGTGTCTTCTGTTGAGATTGTTGTAATTTGCAAAATGTGATCATCAGTTGTCTTTTTTTAAGATTTATTTATTTATGCATACAAGAGTTGGGGTACAGGCCACAGATGCAGGGGTAAGAGGATTCATCAGAGACAGAGCAGGGAACAGAACAGGCAGATTGACCGAAGTACAACTGTTGAGGGGAGTAGCAGCTGAGGCAGGAGAGGTCTGCTGTGCCATGTGGGTTGCTCCCTGGCCGGCCTGGATCAAATTTGTGCAGCAGAGGCTGCGGATTGCTTCATAGTGCACTGCTTAATCCCTTGCGCCACCAGGAGGCCATCATCAGTTGTCTCTCTACTACAGATACTAGAACAGATGAAGTATTACATTTCTAGGCAGTTTATATGAAATAAAATATTCTCATTTAATACACATGAAAAACACCTGGAGGTCCCATGCTAAGTTTCTGACTCAGGTGTGTACAGGAAAAAACTGGATTTTATTTGGAATAAAAGTACTTATGTGAGTATGGATAATGAAATATGTTATATGTTTATAAATATGAAATGAACATTGAATTTTGAAAGAAAATTCATCAACTTGTATAATCAAAATACCTTTTTTTTATCCTTTGAAGATTATTACAAAAGTCGGAATGACTGGTTTTGGTCATTGGAATCAAGTACATGGGAAAACAGACATTCCTATAATTTCTCTGAGAATATGAGTGCAAATATTTTATAAGAATAAGCTTCCAGTATATATTTAAATTATGTATATCATTTGAATAAACAGGTTTGCTTTTACTAATTTTCCTAGTTAGGAATCAACTGTACAAGTTTTCACTAAGTTTACATTGGATAAAAATGACCAGTAAAGAAATTTCCAGAAAACAGTAGTTTTTTGAAAAGCTTTTTAAGGTGTGCTTTACTGAATAACATGACTTTCTAGATGTGATCATTTCTGCTTAATAATTAAACCTTTGGAAGGGGTTTGCTGATGTGACTAGCATATGTGTAACCTTTGTTACTTTGCATTTGGTATGTTTTGTATCCACTTCTCGATACTTTTTTTCAGTGGTCCATAAAATGTATATACTAGTGGCTTTCTTGGTTTTGAGTTCGAGAAATACTGTTTTCTGAGGAAATTTCCACATATGTATTATAATTTGGCACAAAGTTCTGTGTTGGGTGTATTTAGTTATTGCAATCTAGTATTGTTTTCTAATGATGTTTCTCTGTACAGATATTATTAAGGGATTCTCAAATGTTACATAGAAGCTTTGAAGATTAGCTTTTTTATTTGGCATTCCTCCAAGTTTGGAAGTGCTGCACAGTCTATTGCTGTGCTATCAACCACTGAAGAAGGAACCAAGACATTTGAAGCAAGATTTCTTTCTGTGACTTAAACTGAATACAAGAAGAAATCACAGGATTTAAAAAAAAAAATGTAACTTTGTGGGTTTTCTGAGAGTAAGATATTGCTGTGATTCTGGTTTTGTTATATTTATTGGGTGTCAGATAATGTGGAACAGTTTTTTCCTAATTATCTTTTGCATGATGGGTAACCCTCTCCAGTGAGCTTGGTACAAAGCAGTGGTTTTGTATTTTAGATAGATTGGATGTTTTCCTAAGTGGATTAAGGCCATAAGTGATGTCAAAATAACAAAAGAAATAACTCCCTACTCACTATCCCACTATCACAAGGCCTAGAATGATAGTCAGCATCTAGTAGGTGTTTGATAGATAATTGCCTTTTGGTATCGGTACTACTGGTTTTTACTTATTTTTAGTTATGTTTCCTTGATTCTTTTCATTCATTTACATAAATAATTTTGAGAGTTCAATAACTTTATTGGTGTAATTTTGCCTTTTGTAGAGGCAAAATTTGCCTTCTAGTGTAAACCTAAATTTCCCATTCTTTGTAGGAGTTTGAGTCACGAAATAAGGACGTTGTGTGGTGCCATACTGAGTAATGCTCCAGCAATTAGAACAATACTTAAATGAGCTTGCCAAGCTTTTATTTGGGTTTTGTGGATACAGAAGATAACATTCCTTTTTTGCCTATTTTTCAGTTGACTTCACCTGCTTCAGGCTAGCTGGCTGGAGAGAAACATCCATGATTTTTTTTAAGTATATGTTCATTTGAATTTGTCCCTTTTGTAAATCTAATAGAAATCAAGGGGGGTTTTGTTGTTGATGAGCATATGACAGTTTTATTTGTTGGTAATGAATGACTATTTTGATTGCATAAAAATATGTGAAAACTCATCATTTGTATTATTTTGAATGGTGAAATGTACTGGTTATTATTACAGTCTTTGTAATATACATAAAAAATTGTGCAACTCACTAAAACAGAGGAATTTGAAATGATTTTAAAATGACAAAAACTTGAAGGTAATTCAAAGAAGAAGATGTGATTGTGGATTTGAAATGTCTCAAAATCACTCATAAGAATCCCTTAAAAATCATTGTTTGATATGTTCAACTATGAATTTTACAGAGTTTTAAAACTATGATCCCAAGTAAGAAAGGGCTGTTTATTCATGGACATTAATGGAACCTAAGACAGATGGACACGGATTTCATTCAACATAGGAAATTTGTTACTTAGGTAGACACTGTTGAAACTAGTGTATGTGACTGTAGTTGGGATAACTTTCTAGATGCAAGTTCTGCTGTCTTTTAATTATATTTACAAGTTTCTAATCAAACCCCTGAATTTTAACATTAATTCATCTGTCTGCCAAAGCAGTTTCTGGGAAAGAACATGAAGAATGCCGCCACACTTCTAAATAAATCTTCAGGTGATATGTTACAGGAATTTTACAAATAACCAACAATCAGAATATATGTCAAATATATAAACATAAAATATTTAGAGCTTCTTTCACCACTACCAAAACTTGGAATTTTCTACTTTTAGTCACTGAACATACAGATTCATATATTTTATGACATACCTTCATCTTTATCCTCAAGTCCATAAAAATCTCTAGAAATGTGTATAGCAGTAATGAATGATTCCAGCCTGGGATTATGTAGAACACATTTTCAAACCTTTTTGCCATTAACATAGTAGGAGAGTACAGCATGAGTGACTACAACTGCATCAGTAACATTGTTTCAAAATTCTTCTGGAGTATCCTAAGAACTTTGTCTTCTGGACTGCTGTGGACTTCAGGTAGACTTAGGAGATCTTTGGCCCCCACCTTACTGTAGTCCTAAGATTTTCTACTTAGTTTGCCTTGCCAAACACTGTAAGAACATTGAAGATTTCAACCAAAAATGTGTGAAGGATTCTATCTACTGAATTATTACATGGATAAAACTTGCAGAATTGTGCTTCTCTGAACAATCTCAAGTAGACTGAAGCCAACTCTGAAGCTGTATTTGGATAGAAAGGGAAAGGCAATACTTCTTGATTCCAGATAGAAGCTTCACAATCAGAAAATCAGCAAACAAAATATCAGTTTGAAAACTTAATCTTGCTTTTTAAGTATTTGCTTGTTACTAGCAATTCTGGGATTTGCAAACAGAAAAACAAAGAATTTTTTATTGCTGTGGAACATCAATTTGTCTTCTAAAGGTTTGCCAGAAAAATACCTGCATATGTGACATCTGTACACACAAAAAACAAAACATATCATTTTTTTTCCCTCCTGGCACTTTTGAATGGCTCAGCATATTATCCTACTAACTACTTTATTGGACATAAATAGCATAAGAATGTTTAATTAGGAAAGTTGAGTCTGGGTAATAAGGAAATGAAAGTGAAATCTTTAGTGACTGAATAGGTATGAACTATTCATTGGATATTAAAAGATGAAAAGAATTGCTATTAAACATAAATTTTTAAATATTCTAGTTCAGTATCTAGTTCAGTAATCTAATAGTCTAGCACAGAGGTATACATTTATAAAAATATCTGCTTTTAAAATTGCTTTATGAAATTGTTACTGTGATAAGACATAGCTAATTTCCTAAGAAAGTTTCTAAAAACATGTTTGGGGCTGTCTTCTGAAAAATATTTCAGAAAGAATTTTGAGATCACTCTGTAAAACTACGCAATTCTATATTCATGATTTTACTGCTTAGGGGTAACAGAAAATAAGTTATTAATACTTTATTTAGAGAAAAAGTAAGTCATCAGTTTTGTGAACCTTGGTAATATTGTGTATGAAATTATCAAAAATATAGTGGCTTTGTGACATTTAATGAATTGTGATTGCCAACAAAGACTTTGGTTAAATTGATGACATATTTTCAATACAATGAAAGAAATAGAATTGTTAACAAAACTGATGTTAAAAATCATTTTATTGCTATGGGGTTTTATTGGGAGGAGGGAAATTATTTTGTTAGCAGTAGGCATGTAAGAAATTTCAGTAAGGCTGTTGTTGATGTAGATGACATTCCCTAATGATCTCTGTGAAAATTCTTGTGATACGAGATTTTTCTACAGGAATGGAATATTTGCACAGGAGGCGAGCCTCTATGAACACATGCATGTTCAGGATTGAGAAAACATATATTGCTGTGTATAGAGTAGAAAAAGTGCTGTGTGTTATGTTTTTCTGAAGTACATAGATGACTGATACATATGGCCATTCAATTATTATGATTTGTTGATTGCTGAGAGGTGTTTCTAGATCACTTTGTAAAGAGCTGAATTAGGAGACAAGACACTAAGGAATTTTGGAGGCCTCTGTGGATATATAGTGTATGTGCACAGATAGTTCTTAAAGGGCCAGATGATGGGAATCTGTTAATATTCTAACAAAGAATTTTTTAATCCATCTTTCTCCAGTAGAAATGTTAAGTTGCCTTTGGACATAATGCATTTCTGATAGATATTTAACATTTTGTTATAAACATTATAATGTTAATTTTATTGGTTTAACATCAAATATTCTACATGTATTGACATTGTGAGTAATTATCAATTTATAAGGCTAGAACCATTTTTGGTAAAAAATGCATCATTATACTTGATTTGTATGTCATATTCCTAATGTGTAATATCTACCTTCAATGTTTAATATTAATCTACTGTTACTATTTTATGACAAATTTCATCATGATAGAAATATCTTTAACTATTGGTCAGCCCCTTTTTATGGTTTTCAGCTATATTTGGATACAAAAAGAATTCTTTGTATAATATGCATGTGATAAAATAGCATAAGATAGTTAAGTTTTCATTTGCCAAAACAATTTAAATTTTAATGATAGTGAATTATTGTTTTGAATTATTCTTATTTTTAGTTTCATAGGTAGCTTCTAAGTTTTTATGTGGCACGTTAGCAAGTTCATAAAATCTTGGGCTGACCAAAGGAATGTTTTGGTATTTTTGTACAAATAATTAATAGTTAACTATTTTTTAAGAAACAAGGAACAGGTATTTCTGCATGTTTTGTAAATATATTCTATGTAGAATAGCTACTTTCCACTAATGTCAGACTATCTCTGTGTAAATAATTTGGCAGCTGAAGGGTGTTTTGTTATATGATTGTATATAAAATAATTACAATATGTAATATGAAATAATTTTTGCTTTAAACTTTTATTCCCTGATTTATTGGGAATTGCTGACATGTGCTTGTATATAAACACACTTACACGTACATATATGCACAGTTGTAGTAGTGTGTTTAAAGCAATTTTTTTGGAAACTCACAGAAAGCTTTTTGTCAATCATCCGTGTATTTTGTTGTAGGGATCATGACATAAAGTTTATGAATTTTATTATGTTGGTCGACCATATTCTGAGAGGGCTACATACATGGTAGATAAATATTTTTATTTTTTAACATATGCATAAGATTTGCTGATAGACACAATTTTAATACCCAACAGATAAAGGTAAAAACACTATTTGGGCAAATTGTTTGTTTGGAAAGTTTTTGGTTGATGGCATTTGTTTGTTTCTTATGTAGAAGATAATGTCACTTCATAAAATATTTTTGGAGAGGATATGTAATTTTGTCATTATTACAGAATATTTTCATTGAAATGTTACTGGTAGAATCACTGTTAAATCACAGACACAGAGATCAGTTAGCCTTCATTGTCTGTTTTTTTATTTTTATATTCTTTAGTTTTTAATTAGATATTTGTTACAGAAATCACTGCCATTTCTTATTGTATGTGTATAATTTAATTCTTAATTCCATCCAGTTGTAGAATGTTGGAATAGAGTAGTAAGTAATAATTATAGATATAATACATATGCTTCTTGTGTAGCATTTGAACTTCTTAAATGTGTATAGATGTCCTCTCCACATACATGTGTATACACATGCATACAATAAATATTGTAATGTTGAGCTGTGGTGAAAAATTTCTATTACCAATAGAACTGTTTCACTCCTATATGTTCTTGCTTGATATATTTGAGGGAATTATTTGATAGTTCTGTACATGTGATCATAGATTTTTATATCATGTAACTTTAGATGTGAAGAAATATCTCACTTTTGAACATGTTTTACTTAAAATTATAGCATATTTTTTTTTGCTTGTAGAAATGAAATGGTCACCAAGCCTATATATTGTTGAGTGTGATTTCTACACTGCTGTGTATACAGCTAGTTTTAAACACTTAATTTTTTATGTAAAGACATCCTTATTATACTTTTAAATATTAGAAAGTTTTTTTTTCCAATATAATAATTAGCTTTTATTTGTGTGTACAGTGGTTTGTTGTTGTGAGGAATACGGACTAGGATTTCTGACCTCATCTATAATATACTTTTGCTTTATATCTGTTCTTCCTGGTTTATAGAGATGTGGGCATATAAGCATTGTAATCATGCCATTTCCAGACTATAAGTTAAAATTGTTTAACTTCTGCAGCTTATCTTAGAAAACATGGGTGGGCTCATTAGGGTTTATTGTTAAACAGTTGTGTTTATAATAGTTGCTTTATTATATTTTTTATTGTGTAAAGATATAAAATTGTTTATAAATGGAAAGAGAAGGTAGTGGTAGTTTTTTAATATTTGATATTTCCATTTTAGTTTTGTGTAGTCTTCATTGGATTGCTAGAATTATTAAAGACAAATTACTCAAATTGAGTCAAATCCTTTTTCAACTATAATTTTTGTATACATGTTGTTATGTTAAGGAGGACCTAGAGTCATTTAGTATTTTTACCTCATTTTTATTTAGAAGAAAATTTAGATTGTAGTCATAACATTGTTTGACTCTATATTATATGAAAATACCTCAACCTATATAACGAACATGTAGGTATATTTTATTTTTCCAGATGATCTGAGATTCATGATTCATAGTATATTTTATAGAATCTCCTAAATTGTTTCTATTTTCATTTGTTACTTAGCAGAGTAACCAATGCAACTTTGTAAATAATGGGTAGTTGAAATATTTTGTTTTAAAACATCTAGTATACCTAGATGTATTGAGAGTCTCACAAAGTATAATTTTGTAAATATCTCCTTGTAGATTTCTTAGTACTGTTTGTTAGTACATTTATAATTAGCATGTTAGTTCTTAATGAACAGGCAGTTGGAGCTTTTGCAGGATTTATCATACTTGGTTAAGAGGAGAAATTGACAAAATGATGCATCTACCTCATTTTCATGTAGAACTTCACCATGGCATCAAGTGTGAATCAATAATTAAAAACACAGCATGTAAATTGATTTGGTGTTTCTGGATGTACCAAATTTCCTGAAATATTTATTTAATGTTACTATTTTTTTATAAAAAGTTAATTTTTTAGAACAGTTTTGAGTTAAGTAAAAATTGAGCATGAAGTGACATTTCCATATACCCTCACTCTCCCCTTCCATTCATAGCTCCCCATCTCCACTATCAACATCCCCCAGCAGAGTTGTACAATTTGTTAAAAATTAATTAACTACAATCACTGAACTCTCATAATCATCCAAAGTCCACACATTATGTTACTGTCAACTCTTGGTGATGTACACTTAGGACTTGCACAGATGTAGAATGACAGGTATCCTTTGAATAGCATCAGTACACAGCATTCTGATCCTCTGTGTCCTGCCTGTTCATATCTCCCCTTTTGTTTATTTTGCGTTTGATTTTTTTTGTTTGTTTTTAGCACTCATGATATAAGTGACTTGTTAAAAAAGGCTTTTATACTACCTCTTGGAACTATACAATTTTGTATATGTTCCCTTGGTTGCATGACAATATTCAAGACAATTTTGTAAATAATAGGTATATACAAGATTTTTAATTTTAACATCTAGAATTTCTAGATGTATTGGAGTCTCATAAAGTATAATTTTGTATATAATTCATTGTAAAATATCATGTTTTCCTTGTTTCCTTCAATTTCTTTACAGTGAAATTGATGAGAATTATTTTTTGAGCTATACATATTTTGATATTTGTTTATTGAATTGTTAGGGAAAGGAGAAAATGAAAAGGATATTTTCACTTTTACATTCTCATTTAAAATTCAGATTTTAGATTTTAACCTTTGTTTAGTGTTTGCAGTATTATGCATTCAAAAAACCAAAATCATAATTTTATAGTGTATTGCTAATGGGGCATTATGTATTTTAATCATAGGAAATGTGTTTTATAAGAAATTTTATTCTCCCTCTTGAATTATATAATTTTGTATCAAGATGCATGACAGTATTCAAGACAATTTGCTAAATGTCAGATAATCATTTAAAACTGACATTTCTAGATGAATCAAGCACACAAGTATACATTTGTGTAAATAATTTCATTGTAAAATATCATAAAATGGCTTCTGGAAATGTTTTTGCAGTACAACAAATAGGTAATTAATAATCAACCTCTTTGGGCTATGTAACATTTTCATGTTTGTTCAGTGGGTTTTGGAAAGAGTGAAATTATTGCCTACATGTCTTCAGATTTTAGATTCTCGAGTCTAAGTTAAGATTACAGTATATTTGATAACAAATGTAAATAGTCTTGGGATATAGTTTTGTCTATAAAAGAGGAAGACATGAAGGAAATGGCCATTTTAATCAGATGCATTCACTTAGCAGATAATGGCATTGCTAAAGTATTCATATTTTGCTATGCTATATAAGTATACTCTGCAAATTTAAATATTTATAGGCATATACATGTGTGTTAAATATGTGAAATTAGTTTTAGCAGGATAGATCAACTGTCACTCATCTTCAAGTGTTTTACTTTTTCCTCATTTATTAGCTTATTGCTTTAAATTTTATTTTTATTTGAAGATTATAGAAATAATTTACTTATAACATTAAAAACATTTCAAGAGGCCCATCTCATGTATAAAATGTTAATTTTTGTATAACTGATCAAAGAGGTCCATATCTTCTATTTTCATATATAATATGACATCGATACAAGATGTATATAAAGATAAAATTTAATTATCATTTTCTGAGAACTTTATCAGATTTTCCAGAAAACAGTTACTTTTTGTGTGTTAAATGGTAAAATTTGAAACAAATTTGAAAATTTGAAACAAATGTGTAAATAATGAAGAATTTCTTACAAAGTTTTACTCAGTATTGATTAAATTTCTGATCATCTTTTTGAACATTTGGGCAATGACAATCAATTGAGTGTATAAAACTTCCAAAATTATGTAGCTTACTGCTGGATTTTTATCTGTTCCAGCACTTAAATTTACAAAACAGCAAGTATGTTAAAATTTGAGCATGACACATAATTTGAATGTATCAAATTCCTATCAATAAAATGTTATAATAATTATAGCTTATAATCATACCAATGAGTTTGTCATAAATATATCAAATACCAAAAAAAGTAACTTGACATAGGGTGGGTACTTGACGTTGATTTTTTTGAAAATTATGTCATTTTTGAACAAATGTCAGCTAATTGTTTAGTTGCAGGGGCATGTGTGTATGCCACTACTTTCTGAAATCTTAATCATTATTCCTGGAAAAGGGGATTGTCTTTGATAAGATTATTGAGTTAATGTTTACTCACCAGTAATTATGATGAGTAATTATTTTTTTCTACCTTCCTATTTTTTAATTATTTTATACTTTTTTTTTTTATTTTTTGCACAATGTATTCGTTTTCATCTTGGTATAGTCCCCCCTCTTGTTTTGATGCTACTTCCTCTTCCTCCTTTACCCTCCCTGTAGTGTGTCTCTGGTTTATAGTTGCTGAGCTGGAAGGGGATGCTCAGCGAAATAAGCCAGAAAGAAAAAGAAAAATACCGGATGGTCTCACTCATAGCAGGAATTTAGAAAACCTAAATAAGGGACCAGGAAAAACACTTATTATAATAAAGTAAAAATGAGTTATTATTTGAATGTTTTTTTTAGATATTTTGTACATCTGAGATAAATACTAAAGCATTGTCTATATATTTGTACATTGCTACTTGACAATTTAAAATGAGTTTTCAAATTATTGAATAGAAAATTGCCTGGAAGAACATGATAAAATGATGACAGTATTGTATACAGGGATAGGATTTGGGAAGTGCTTCTGCTTTCTGCAATCAAAAATTTAATGTTATGTCAAAAATGAACACTTTTAATCAAGGGAATTTTAATGAGTACACCAATTTGTTCCTGTCTTCATTTTTGCCTGTCAACATCTTGAAAGCATTGGGCTTGTATATCAAACTTTGTATTCCAAGTTGCCATTGTGAATGAGTTTTGAGTGACCATGAAGAATATGTGATTTAGAGACTAGCGCAGCAAAGTTTTACAAGTGAAAAAAAGTATTGGATTACCCAAGGAAAGAAGAAGGGACAAGAATGGGATTTTGAGGTAGGTGCTAAATAAGCATTTATATTTGGATTGGCAATAGATGAGTAATGAATGTAGTCATTGAAACAGTCTATAAAGAGGGTGAATTTTCCTAAGGCATTACTATGTTTGAGTTTATTGACTAGGTCAAACAAATTGTTGGAGAGTCTCTTAGCATTGGTTGAAAATTGCTTTAATTTATGTGAGTAATAAGAGAATGGATTTTCTACTTGTATAGTGACTGATTCAGTCAGTGGATTTTTATAGGTCTTTGGTGTTTTAAGATTTTCAAAATTAGAATGAAATTTATATTCTCTACAATTGTGCTAATGGTGCTTAGAAAAGTTTTTTTTTAAGAAAGTAGAAAGTTAATATCTTTTGCGGTAATATTTACGGGTTTTGTAATTATCTTCTATGAATATTCCTTACCATTTCCATTCTAATGTCATGTCTTGTTTATATCTTTGTTTATATCTGTTGTCCTATTTGTATGTAACTTTGGCTATATCTTTTACTCATCAGGTGACCATGATAAAAAATTTGCATATAATTTGAGGTGGCAGCTAGTGAGCTACTGAGGACAAGTAACATCATCAGAGCATTTCTGTTCCTTTTAATTCATGCAACTAAACTGCACGACACAGGTAAGAAGATTCCAGAATAAGAAGTGCTGTTGTAGGAAGATGCTTTGTCTTGGCCCAAGAAAACACTTGTATAACTGTATTGATAGTGAAAATCAGTCAATGAAGCCATAGCTGACTCTTCGAAAGTTGAGTCAGTTATAGAAATTAATGAGGAATTGTTACTGAATGTTAATGGTAACAAAGTCAGTCTGAGCTACTACTTAACTTGCTACTACAGCTTTTTCATCAGAATGGTACATATCCTAACCTTAAAATGTTTCTTTTTTTTCTGACAGGGCATTACAGTTACAAGAAAAGATACTTTTATCATCTTGTTTTTAATCCCAAGAATGGTACACCAGACCTGTTGCTGTATTTCTTATTTAAGAGCTCTTCACTCTTATCTCTGCTCCCAGGAATAACCCTTTAGTGATAAGATTGTAAGGATGTTTTAATGCTTGTAATATTCATGGAGGGGCACTTTGGCTAGACAGGCCTGCTTTTCTTAAGTAAAATTAGTGAAATTTTGCTGGCAACTAGTCAATAGAAACTATTCAAATTGCTAATTACTATGTAGCAAGTTGTTTTAACTCATATTGGCATAAAAAACATGGTTGTTTTTCTTTTTTAAAAAAAGATTTATTTATTTATGCATACAAATACTGGGTTACAAGCAAGAGGTGTTGGGGGGATGAGAGGATTTGCCAGAGACAAAGTTGGGAACAAAACAGGTAGATTGATTGAAGTACACTGCTGAGGGGAGCAGCTTTGCCTTCACTGTTACTGCTTTGGGTGATGTGTCTGTAAAGAATCTTTGAGGTGCATATCATGTAGTGTTTCCCATATATTTTCTTAAGTATTTTATGGTTTCAGGTCTTATGTCTAGTTCTTTAATCCATTTTGAGTTGGTTTTTGTGCATGATGTGAGATAGTGGTTAAGCTTCATTCTTTTGCATGTAGCGACCCAGTTTTCCCAGCACCATTTATTGAACAAACTTTCTTTGCTCCAATGCATATTCTTTGCTCCTTTGTCAAAGATTAGTTGACCATAAATCTGTGGGTTTATTTCTGGATTTTTTTATTTGATTCCATTGGTCTGTGTGTCTGTTCTTGTTCCAATACCATGCAGTTTTGATGACTATGGCTTTGTAGTATAGTTTGAAGTCTGGGAGTGTGATGCCTCCATTCCCTTCTTTTTTTTTCAGGAGAGCTTTGGCTATTCGGGGTTTTTGGTGATTCCATATGAACTTCATATGGATACATTATTGGATTCTGATAGCTTAAATTTTATTGAAGATTTTTGCATCAGTGCTCATTGGGGAGATTGGCCTGTAGTTTTCTTTTTTTGTGTTGTCCTTGTTCGGTTTTGGTATTAGTGTAATGTTGGCTTCATAGAATGTATTTGGTATTATCCCTTCCTTCTCAATTTTTTAGAAGAGTTTGTGAAGGATAGGCACTAATTCGTCTCTGAATGTTTGGTAGAATTTATTTATAAATCCATCAGGTCCTGGGCTTTTGTTTTTGGAGAGGTTTTTGATTACCATTTCATTTTTGCTGCATGTAATTGGTCTGTTTAGGTGTTCTATTTCTTCTCTATCTAGCTTTGGGTGATTGTAGAGTTGGAAGAATTAGTCCATCTCTTCTAAACTGTTGAACTTCTTTCCGTATAACTGTTCATAGTAGTCTCTGATTATTCTTTTTATTTCTGCTGTGTCCGTTGTGATTTCTTCTCTTTCATTTGTGATCCTGTTTATTTGTGCTTTCTCCTGTTTTTCCTTTGTGAGCCTGGCTATGGGTTTCTCTATTTTATTTTTTCGAAGAACCAGCTTTTGGTTTCATTGATCTTTTGGATTGTTTTTTTAGTTTCAATTTCATTTATTTCTGCTTTGGTTTTTATTATTTCTTCTACTGGTTTTAGGGGTTTTTTGTTGTTCTTTTTCTAGTTCTTTGAGCTTTGAGATTAGGTTGTTTCTTTGAGTTCTTTCTTTTTTTTGGTTGTTTTTTTATTTAAATATTTTATTTTATATAATTCTTGCATCTTTTTTCATCTTTGTACAATGTATGCATTTTCATTTTGGTTATATCCCCCATACAGTTGCACCCCCCACTTATTTTGACTCTAGTCCTTCCTTTCTCCCCCCCGCCCCCATAGTGTGTTTCTTGATATGAGCCTTTATTGCTATATATTTTCCTCTTATTACTGCTTTTGCTGCATCCCGTACATTTAGAAAATTGGTGTCCTCCTTGTCATTCAACTCAAAGAATTTTTTAATTCCTTCTTTGATCTCATTAGTCCAGTGGTCTTCCAGTAGTATGGGTTTCAATCTCCATGAGGTAGGAGAGTTCCTTGCCTTCTTTTTATGGTTTATTTCTAGTTTGATGCCTTCATGGTCAGAGAAGATGGGGTATGATTTCGATCTTGGTGTATCTGTTGATGTTTGTCTTGTGTCCCAGTATGTGATCGATCCTGGAGAATGATCCATGTGTGCTTGAGAAAAATGTATACTCAGATTTTTTTGGGTTTAGTGTTCTGTAGATGTCTGTTAAGCCCAAGTGCTCTAGATCCTTATTTAGAGCTTTAGTGTCTTTACTTATTTTTTGTCTCATTAATCTATCCATTGTTGATAGTGATGTGTTGAAGTCACCTACTACATATGTGTTTTCTCTGTCTGTTTTCAAAGATGATCATAGTTGTCTGATATATTTTGGTGCTCCTTCATTTGGTGAATATATGTTAATGAGTGTTATTTCTTCTTGAATTATTGTCCCCTTGATCATAATGTAGTGACCTATGGGGTCTCTTTTTACCTTTTTGAGTTTGAAGTCTGTTTTATCTGATATAAGTAAGCTGTTCCTGCTTTCTTTTTTGGTCCATTTGCTTGTAGGATTTTTTTCCATCCTTTAACTTTGAGTCTATTTTTATCTTTCGTGGTTAAATGTGTTTCCTGGAGACAGCAAAAGGTTGGGTTTTGTTTCTTAATCCAGCCTGCAACTCTTGTGTCTTTTTAGTCCATTTACATTTAGAGTTAATATTGATATGTTAGTTAGTATCTGTGTTTGCCATTGTGTTTGTCTTTCCTCTGGTTTTATTTATTCTTTTAATAACTTTTTTTTGGCCTTCTTTCGTTGTTATTCATCCCTCTGTTGGTTCTGGCTTTAGGACTCCTTGTAGTATTTTTTGGAGTGGGGGTTTAGTCATCATGAAATTCCAGAGTTTCTGTTTGTCTGGGAAGGTCCTTATTCTTTCTTCATAGAGGAAGGAAAGCTTTGGGGGATAGAGTATTCTTGGTTGGCATTTGTTGTCTTGGAGTCTGTTGACTGTGTCCCTCCACTCTCTCCTTGCCCATAATAGTGTTTCTTTGGAGAAGTCTGATGTCAGTCTGATTGGTTTTCCTTTGAATGTTATCTGTTTCTTCCCTCTTGTCAGCGTCATTATTTTTTCCTTGTCTCGGATTCTTGGGCGCTTTACTATTATGTGTCTTGCTGTATTTTTCTTTCGTCATGGAAATTTGATGTTCTTCTTTTTTTTTTTTTTTTTTAGAGGCATGTTTTATTTATTTATTTTATTTGTTTGTTTTGTTTATACATGCACTGGCTACAGTCAGAAGCGCGGGAGGGTGAGAGAATTCACCAGAGCCAGAGTGGGGAGCAGAGCAGGCAGAAGGACTGAAGTACACTGCTGAGGGGAGCAGCGGGCGGCAGTGGAGGTCTGCACGCCATGTGGGATCCTCCGCCGGTGGCCGGGGAGCAGCCGGGGATCGAACGGGTGCCGCAGAGGCTGCGGGCAGCTTCGCAACCCAGCGCTCAACCGCTGCGCCATCGGGGAGGCCCTTCTTTCTTATTATATGTCTATTTTCAGCTCCTTCGTGTTTTGGAAGTTCTCTTCAATTATTTCCTTGAATATTTTCTCTGTTCCTACATCTCTCTTCTCTCCTTCTGGGATTCCTATAACTCTTATATTTCCTTTCCTCATGAAGTCAGATAGTTCCTGAAGTCTTTCTTTGGTCTTTTTCCTTCGTACTTCTCTTTTCTTTTCTGTTTTGGTTCTTTTTATTTCTGTATCTTCAAGAGTACTTATTCATTCTTCCATTTTATCTATTCTGCTTTCATTGCTTTTCCCAGAGTTCTTTTGTGCCTCCATTAATTCTTTGATCTCCTGCATTTCTTTTACTTCCCTCTTTAGGCACTCAATTTCATTCTCTGATCATTGATTATTTTTCCCTTATTGTTTATCTTTATGACTTCTGTCAGTTTTTTAGTCACAGCAATTTTAAATTCTCTTTCTGGAAGGCTCAGAAGTTCTTCCAAGTCTCTGTCGTTGCTATCTGGTGGGTGGTTTTCTTTTTGTGGTGAGTCTTTCTCCTGAGCTGTTGCTAGGTTGCATGTAGTTTTCCTTCTCCTTACTGCCTGTCTTCTAATTTGCCATATGCGTTGGGACACTGTGCGGCTGGTACTGACCGGTATCTTTTTGGTGTGCTCTTTGTGGGGTTTTGGAAACTGGTGGTCCAAACGAGTCAAATACTGTTATACCACAAGTCTAGTGAGCTGGTGGTACTTTGAGTATGTTAATGGTGGCTGTTGGAGAATATTTCCTCCTTCTGTGTTTAATTACAAAGGTGTGTCTTGAAGTCCCACAAACTTCCCTAGAGGTAGGGCAGCTGGACTGCACTTTGGGTTCTAAAAGAACTGGATCCCCCTCTAGGCTCCAACTTCTTGCTTGGCAGGACCAGGCTTGTGGGGTCCTTCAGCTCACCTCTGACTGCAGGGAACCTTTCTCCTCTGGCTCCGCAGGGAGCCTTCTGCCAGTTTCAAGTAGTCTTTATTGAAGATAGGTCCCTGTTCTAAGATGGCGATGTGGAGACGCACTCCCCTGCGCGTCCAGTCCAGTCTGTCCTGGCCTTGGGTGCCCGCTCCCCCTTTGGGCATGGACTGCTGGCCAGAAGTGGTCTGGCATGGGTGATCTTCCCAGCTCACCTCTGGCTCCGCGGGGAGCCTTCTGCCAGTTTCAAGCAGTCTTTATTGAAGAAAGATCCCTGTTCTAAAATGGCAATGTGGGGATGCACACCCTGTGCACACAGTCTGCCCTGGCCGTGGGTACCCAGGGAGGGAGCATTTTTTAATGAAAGCAATAATGTTATAGCATCCAGTGAATCCTATCTTCCACTGCATCAGGAATTGTGTGATTCTCATTTTTTTCACTTGTTTTCCTGCTTTGTCCCTTTGAAATATTTCTTCATTCTATGTACTGCCTAGGTACAGCATTCACAAAATCCTTTAGCATTCATTCTCAGAGTTTTATTGCTAAATGTTAAACAAACAATGAAGTAAAGGTTTTAATTAGATTTTTTTCCCCATTTAGAATAAATCTTAAGTAGAAGACTTCCTGTGAAATATCTACTTGAGCAACTTTGATGGCCAGCTGGAATCATAGGTAAGAAGTTGTAACCTCATAGAGTAGTGCAGGACAGAGGAAAAATAACTCAAAGTCCAAGTAGTGTGTGAAGAGAGAGAGGCAGAGGTGCCACATCTCTGGAGATAAAGCTCCTTTCCCCCAGCAAGACTCACATTTATTTGGGGCTCAGATTAAGGGAAGGTGGGAAAGTCTGTGGAGGAATTTGTGAAAGAATATGCATGGTGGGGATGTGGATTGGGGATGCATAGCAGTCTGGCACAAGCTAGGGGAGAGTGGCTGCTGATCAAAACATCCTATCTCTAGTCCTTGTTTTACACTTAACTTACTGTCAAGGTGGTCTAGCTGGTTATGCTAATCTGGCCATAATGTCTGCCTGCTATTTTCAGCAGATATCCTCATACTAAGACTTTTGTCCTGGTGAGAGGCTACCTGCCTGCCTCTACATTTAGCTTAATCAGCAGCACCTTTGGGCTCCAAACAAAATCCCACAAACAATTGTGGCTGGGGGAGCCACAGAAGTGAAGTCTTTTCCAAGTTCCATTGTAGCCTTAAGTATGTCTTTGGCTTTGGCCTGGGGTGGGGGTGGAGTCCACAAAGCCTGTATGAAATTAGCTTTAGGACATCCTTTTCCCCCTAACAATGTACAGTTAGTATTTATTTCATCAAGTTAGTTCTATTTGTTATTTTCAGTACAACAGTTAGGCATTGTTGCCTGTTTCTTGTACAGAAATTCATGTAGATTGCATAAAGTAATTATTTATATTAATGAGATGAATCCAGCTACATAATTGTAAAGAGACATAGATTTTCCCAGAAAATGTAGAAAAGTCTGTTTAACAATAAGAAAGAAACCAAAATCTAACTTTTTTATTGTTAGAAGATTACAAAGGAATTCTGTTCCACATGTTATTTTTTTCATAATAGAATGGATGATGTATTTCATTGTACATAATTTTTTTTAGTCTCTTGCAAAGATCACATAATGTTTGCTTCTAACCTTTCCTCACTTTTCCCTGTTCTGCCTCCTCAGGTGATAACTGAATAGAAATATGATGTCATTGTTAATGTTACCATATTCACCAAAACCAAAAGGTGATCTTCATCATGTATAGAGATTCCTCTTTCATATGTTGCAGTGGACACTGCAAATGAGAAAACTGGACTTGAGAACACTCATGTTTTAATGTTACCTAATGGATGTCTTTGGAGAGAATTGTTACCAGGCACGTTTACTGTTTCACTGTTGCCAGTGGACTAAAATCTCAGGAGCTTGAATGGCTGAGACATTCCACAGAGACTCAGGATGGTATAACTGCAAGAATTCATTTCGGTGTTCCCATAAGTGCATATATTTACAATTTTCACTTAGCACAGGGTGAAGTTAAGATTGATTCATGTTAAAGTTTTGAAATAATTATAATTGAGTGGAAATTTTGGAATATGAATATACAATCTTTATATTTTTAGTCAAAACTAAATATTTCCTTATGTTTTCTCAAACTGTACAAATATCAGTGTTTTTAATCTTAGGCAATGTGACCTACAAGGAAATTTCTTTTTTGTTATTGTTAAGTCATCTTCATATACTTTTCATACTTAGTAGTCTTTAGTGTTATTTCATTTTCATCTGTGTTTTCATTTCGATTAGAATATTGGTCTCTTATTTGTTTCTAAAAGTACATTTATGGCTAAGTATATTAATAATTTGTCATGTATTGCAAATGAATATCATGTTTTTTTGCCCTTATTTTACTGTATTTTATTTTTTTGTTGTACTGAAGTTGTATATTGAAATATAATCATATTCTGGTGTATGCTTTTTGAGTTTCGTGTTGTTTTTTTTTAAACATGTTTGCCTTCATACACTTATCTTTATTTTCTCTACTTTTTATCTATTATCTTGTCATATTATTTGTTTCCATTAATCATAAAACTGATTTAAAGAACCACATATTTAAATTAGTCACTTTAAGTCACTACCACTTATTTGAAGTTCTACCATAATCCTATAAATCCCCACATATAACTAGTTGAATTTTATTTTCTATTTTTTATTGATAATTTAAAAGCCCTGATGATTTTTAATCATATCTGTTGAATTGAGATTTATCCATTTCTCTTTTTCAGACTATTACCTGTGTATGCTCCTATTTTTCCTATCAATTGAGGCTTAACATTATTTTGCAAGTTGGAAAAATGCAGTTTTAACTTTAATTGCACCAAGTTTAATAGATTAATTAGGAGAGAATAGATATCTTTAAAATTGAGCCTTCCTATCACATTGCAAGGTATGTTTCTCTATTTACTTTGGGATACTTCTAGTGTTTTCTTATTCATTTCCAGACATTTCACAACTCTTAGTAATGGGTAGAGTACACCCAGGTTATTTTCCATGACATGTAAGCATCGTTTTTCTATGTTTTCATATGCTATCAAATGGTATTTCACTGAAATTCCAAAATGATGGTTTTTATCTTTAACAGTTCATGGGTAATTTCAGAATACATGGAAGTTGAGAGAGTTCTTGTAATTTAATTGTTAGTACTGATTCTTTTAGTTTAGGATTTGTTTGCATAGCAGTCTTACAGAAAGATTTCCTTCATTTTATTGTGGAATTTTCACAATTTAATGATAGTTTTCCTATGTGAATTACAGTTGATCATTTAAAAAATAAGATTTATTTATGCACACAAGAACTGGGGTACAGGCCAGAGGTGTGGGAATGAGAGGATTTACCAGAGACAGAGTGGGGAGCAGAACTGGCAGATTGACTGAAATACACTGCTGAAGGGAGCAGTGGTTGAATCAGGAGAGGTCTGCTGTGCCATATGGGTAGCTCCCTGGCCAGGGATTGAACTCCTGCTGCAGTGGCTGCTGAGAGCTTCATAGGTATTGTCTTAACCCCTTGTGCCACCAGGGAGGACCCTACAGTTGATCATTCTCAATGTCCACAAATTTTTTTTCAATTTGTGTATACCTTTTAAAGTAGTCATATTTATCTTTTGAGCAATTTTAGTTGTTATTTTTGACATGTTTATTTAAATATTGAAGAAAACATGTTCTACTCCTCTCCATGTAAATATTAATATCCAAAGAATGATTATAACCGACAACATTAGTTGTAATCAATCTTCAGCTTATGTGACAGGATATGTTTTGTTTTATACACATTGTTTTATAGTTTTATATATTACCTGTGTGATAGTTCACTTTTTTTTTTAAGATTTATTTATTTATGCATGTAAGAGCCGGGGTACAGGCCAGAGATAAGGGGGTGAGAGGATCCAACAGAGACAGAATGGGGAACAGTAAAGGCAGAGTGACTGAAATACACTGCTGAGGGGAGCAGTGGCTGAGACAGGAGAGGTCTGCTTCGCCATGTGCGTTTCTCCCTAGCCAGCCAGGGATCGAACTTGTGCTGCAGAGGCTGTGAATTGCTTCACAGTGTGGTGCTTAACCCCTTGCATCACCAGGGAGGTCCCAAGGTATTTCACTTTTAATTTCTTAAATTGTTTTGTGAAAACCAGTCCTTAAGAATATTGGAGGAAATTATTTAGTATTTTGTGTCCTTGTGGATTTTGTTATCTTGGGGAAAGCATGAATTTTAGCATATGACACTCAGAAGGGACCGCTGAAATTAATTTTAGCTTTGTGTGACACATAGTGCCTTTCATATGTTTGTTTTGGATTGATTCTGCCATGTCTTATATGTTTAATTTTCATCTGATACTTGACCCCTTATGGTGTCTTCATGAGTAGAAAATTCAGGGAAATACTGAGCTGGAGGACAGTGCAGGAAATACTTTGTGTTTCTTCACAATTTTAATGGTAAGGTAACTCCAGTGTTAAGTAGACAGTGAAAATAATCATGCTGTGAATGATGAACCTATTCATTTTTTCTTCCATTTTTTTTTAATTTTTATTTTTATATTCTCCATACAGTTGCAACCCCCCTGATTTTGACCCCAACCCCTCTTTCCCCCCACCAAGTGTGTCTCTGGTTCTTTTTTTCCATTTTTAATTAGCAATTCCATTTCACTAACTGCATTTTTTTTTAATATCCCCCACCCGCTTACCCCATTGCTATGATTTGATGATTATCAAAACCACTTTTTTTAAAATGTGAATGTGAGATGTAAGACAGGTTCAATGTAGCCTGATGCTTCATCTACAAGGTTCCTTTCTGGGCTCAGGGTATGTTTATAAGAATGTATATAAATGCCAGCCAGTTACTTTCAGGGTAATTAAGGTATTTATGTGGGAAATGAATTCTGTCTCACAAGAATCTGTTTTTCTGTACCTCATGTCTGTCATTACAAAAGATAGCGTAACCTAGTAATTTTCAGTTGCATTTTAAAAATTGACAATGCTTTTGACATAATTTAGGTTAATTTTCACTTAAAATTCAACATAAAGTCATATGAGTCAATTTATAATTTCAATTTTAAAAAACATTTTTCGCTACACAGTTTGATAATACGTTTAGTTGAAAAAGTCAGGAAAACTTGGCATAGACTAGGTATAGTAGATGAGTCCATGAGTGTCCCTAGATGTAAAAGCTTTGTATGTAATTGGAAACATGTTTATTTACAAAGTATTGTAATAACATAGAAAATTTGCAAGTTGATCGTTGTTTGAGAAAATGGAAAGTATAATAATCTCAAATCATAGGGGGAAAATTGTTAACCAAATGGGAAAAGATAAAATTTGATCCATTCCTATGGGATTCAGCATTAAGAATTTTAAAGTGAATCAAGTTTAAATTAAAAATAAAGAACAGTTAAAGAAAACATGGTGAAATTCTCTTTAATATGGGAGTGAGGAAAAATCGACTATGATGATCTCAGTTCCATAAATTAATAGGCAAAGCAAAAACCAAATGATAGTTTGCAAAGGGTATTTGTAACATTCAAATAAAAAGGATGAAATCCCTAATCCTTGAATTTTATTAAAGTTGAAAATAAAAACAAGATACTCTGAACTTTTCAAGTATCAGTAGCAAAAGGCTGGAAGTTTGAAGACTATTCTTTCACCAAGCTTTGGGGAATCTGGAAAATTTATATTGTAATATATTATTGTAAGTATAAAATGTAAAATCTCAATGGATAGGAATTCAGTAGGTGGTTAAATTTTTCTGGCAAATCCAAAGTGCATCTTGAAGTAATATGCTACCTTATTTGGGATTAATGAATATATGTTTATAGGATAATTTTTGGAATATTAATGGAACTATGGTAGAAGTAGCAGATGAAAAATGATTGCAGCAAAATGGTATTGGATATTTGATGCCTTGGTAAAAGTAAAAACGGTTCAGAAATTTCAGTAGAATTTTGTCAAATAGGACATTTGGATGTAGGAATTAGTTTTGAGGTGAATGAGTTAATTTTGAAACAAACTATAAATAAAAATAAGGGGTTAATTTGAGTTTAGTAGATAATCAAGAAACTAGTGGTTTTGTAATTACCATACAGAAAAAAATTATTCCTGGAAGCTTTTGTTAGCAGAGCAGTAGCAGTATCCAAAAGAAATCCTGAGTTCATATTTGCTTTTCCCATCAATGATTTGAGACAGCACTTGAAGGATTTGCTAGATATTGCAAATTCATACTGGAGAGCTACACTACATAAAGTATAGAGATTCTATGTAAAGGTTTTAGAGTCAGATGTTATGCAGGATTTTTGAATTTAGCACTGTGTTCAGGACATTTTGATTTATAGTAGTGAACAATAAACTTATTTAAGCAAGTAATTTAGTAACTATTAGAACTCTTAGCTGCCCTGAGCTCTGCCTACCCAACTGCTTGATGCATATCTGATCAATTGACATATATAAGATTGCTTTGTTAGATGATTGCATAAATGCCAAAATTGATAAATTATTAGATATATGGATATGTAGATGGGTGCCATAAATGTAAGATAGGTGGAATCAAGAATAGATGACCACTAAGTGGATAGCTGCCTATATGGACTGATGGTTGAATGGAGGGTGGGTGGATAAGTGGATCTAGAAGTGCATTCTGGATATAATAAGGTATTTAATATGCAGGAATGGTATACATGCATGAGGGTATAAATGTATTAGTGTATTTGTGTGTGTGTGTGTGTGTGTGTGTGTGTGTAGATACAAGAGTTGAGGGTAGATCAAAAAACTGTTGAATCATACCTCTACAATGCTGTAATCAATGATAATTTTTTTTAAATATTGACTTATTAGAAACATTAGAATTGATGAAGCTAATGGATATGCATCTAAAAGAGTATTTGGATGGGTTGATGCAGGAAAGGCTGATTCCTAATCTGTGACTTCAAATTACAGAGATGTATTTCTCATACTGATAGTCCATCAGAGGTAATTGGGAGTCCTGTGCTTATGGAAGTCATTTTTAGGCAGAATGTCAAAAAGACAGGAAGGCCTCATATTGCAAGAGTAAGGATTGAAATAGTCTCCATAGTATTAAAAGTTAAGAGTTAGAAGAAATGAAAGAGATTGAATATTTGGAAAGATAGATACAAGGATGTGTTGGTTTAACGAATTTTGCGAATAACAACCAAGTAAACACAAAATGGGTGGATAGACCAATGGTAAGAATGTATTGGCACAAACAACTAGAAGTAAAAATAATGAATTGTTTAAATAACAGCTGGGGAGCCTTCCTGGTGGTGCAAGGGGTTAAGACACAACCTATTAGGCTATCTGCAGTCACTGTAGCATGAGTTTGATCCCCGCCAGGGAGCAGCCCATATGGCGCAGCAGACCTCTCCTGGCTGGCCCACTGTTCCCCTCAGCAGTGTATTTCAGTAGA